CAGCAACTGTGTCTCCACAGGCATCGCCTGCTCATGTCCACAATGTAAGTTACAATCAATTTACAAGAAAAAAAATTTTGATTGTTATTTTTAATTTTTTAATTCTATTATGATAATGTAACTGTAATTATGTAGGAAACACCTCAAGCATCGGCAGCTGTGTCATCACAGGCATCAACGTGTAACATCAATGATGTAAGAGAAAAGTAGTCACAATAAAAACAAAAAACATTTTGTATGCTTTAAGATTTACATTAATAAATTCCTTTGATTTAAACAGGCTCCTGAACATTATATCTATGTTAGTGCTGGCACCCCTGATGTAAGTTGCTTTAAAATGTGTCAATATTATGTTTTCCCCTGCATTTAAAGTGGAAATCTAAATGTGTAATCTTATTGTGTACTAAATGCTCTTTTCTTTTTAAGGTTTTTTATGGGATCTCTGCTACTTCAAGGGATGAAGTCATCCCAGCAGTCAGGTATAGTAATTCGGTATTTGTAGAAAAATTATGTATTGCAAAACCACTTCAGTAACCCATTAATGTTTGAAAACCAATATTGAGAAGCTGCAAATTGTATTTCTAAGTAGCTTTACAACAGGGTTAAAGGGGTAATTTTATTTTGAAAATATGAAACTGTACTCACATTAATTTGTRACATTATACTGTTTAGTAACATTTATTAAAGTTGTGTAAAATTTGGTGTGATGATGTAAGACTGTTGACATCTACTCAAAGAAGACATGAGTTAATAGTGTTAATTTTGTGAATTAACATTGCCGAGCGACAGCMTGTTGAGTTTAAATAAAAACAAAATACAGTTAAACATACAAAAAGGAAGTTATTTGTAGTACACATGATTTGTGTGACTGAGGATAAACACATGCGTAAATGTAGTCACTTAGTCTAAGAAATACATAGTTTGATAACAATTTTTGACTTTGCAGTGATGATCATGATGTAAACATGGATGACACTGTTGAACTCAGTCAACACAATAATACTCAACAGACAACTGCAGAACAAGTTGTAAGTATAATTTGACTCTTAATGACATAATTACCTTGTTTATAATTCAACATGCCAGCAGCTAAGAACTATGCTTGAACTTACCTTCAGATCTACAGGTGCTGGTCATAAAATTAGAATATCATGAAAAAGTAGATTTATTTCAGTAATTCCATTTAAAAAGTGAAACTTGTATATTATATTCATACATTACATACAAAGTCATATATTTCAAATGTTTATTT